TCACCCTATTGAGGGTACCTCCAACAACGTGTCTATCTTGTAAACGAGCGACAGTTTCACGGGCTTTAAGCAAAATGCTATACAAGTTTGATGTGTTGTAATAAGATAAAACATTGAAGTTAGTCGCAAAAGCTAGCATAATCTCTGTAGTCCGCAGAGTAGATTGAATTCGTCTAAGTAAAATTTTTAAAAACGGTCTAGATGTAAAAAAACCTGTCCAATAGGCTGGAACCCCTGATTTTATATCGGCAAAGTTTAAGAAATCGCCCTTTAACGTATGATATTTTTTATGTTTTTCTAAAATTGTGTTGAAATATTTCGTAGGAGTACCGAATTCGATATTTGCTTTATAAAGATTACTGTTTACGTTAATAAAATCGGCAAGTCTTTGGTAGTTATTATATTGGTAATCAAATTCAATTTGTGTTTCATAACGTAAACGACCACCCAATGGGGCTATCAGAACGTTATGAGGTGTAATAGTCCCAGTCTTTGAATATTGCTCAAGAAGAAGTTCCGCTTGTTGCTTGATATTATAAGAATGCACGCTATTTTTAAATGAATTATTAAAATCAAAATTTCTTGTGCATATTTCTTTGACAGGACCACAAGATTCGAAATTGTCCGCGTTGAATTGTAAGAAGTGAGTAAGAACTGCATGTTTTGGATATCGTTCCTTGCCTATTCTGTTTAATTGATTGTTAAGATTTGTTTGAATGTTTATATTACTGTCCCAATCTTGAAGCCAGACAAAGTCACTATATTGAAATTCTGCCAGATATTGTTCCCATGAGTAATGAAGATTTGATGTGACAAATTTCGATATACCAGATGCTGACAGTAAGTATACAAAAGTTGGACTATGTGTAACACTATTGGTAGACCAACCCACTTGAGGTGAATAGTTCAAATGGCGTTTCAACCATTGGTGGCCTGTAATAAAAAATTGCAGAAATATAACAATTTTAAGTAACTATACCGTATTTAGGATCACGGTATCGACCTGTTAGGAAAGCTTATTAAGAACTTATATTACCTTCTATTAATTGATGAACTAATCCGAATAAATGTGATGTCGACTCTTCCGTTTCAACCCAACCACCTGTAGTGATCTCCAACCTACCGTTCTTCAGTAACTTTTTGAAAACCTATGAAAATACATTACGTTACTGTCAAGGCATATCGAGCGTTAAATAAGCAAACGTATCACACTATTGTTATAAGGTTTTTTTTTAACATAAACTAGCGCTACTTAAATTAAAAAATATATTAAACTATATTTACCGAACGACTTTTTTGAGAGGTTCCTTTCCACCACTGACTTAAATGAGACACCTCATGCCACGTAAAGGTGAAATTTGAATAGAAATGTAATTTTTTTACTATGTTTGAAAGTATTTTGCGGGCAGAATTACTGTGGTAGAGTTCGAAGCTTTGTTTCCAAATAGAATCTACGTGTGATGAAGGCATTAAAATCACCTATAATAAAAAGAATACAATACAATCTCAATTTCATATGAATGACACAGTTCAACTTATAACATAATTATCTCACATTTAATGAAGGCCAATTGGAATTCCTCATCAGCGACTCGTACCGGCTATCAAAAATGTGATCCCAGAATTGTTTTTTCGAGATCCACGGAGGCTGAGTAAGGAAAAAATAATTTTATTAAAATATAATCAATTTGTTTTAATGTTGATCGCCTGTTGTTTCAATTATTACCTCAATGTGGAAACCCATAAATTTCGTTTGAGCATCAATATCACTTTGTATCTTTTGAATAGTAGCGCAAGCATATGGATATGTATTTATGCTGTAATTATATTTAATTGACGCGTCAACGGTATCTTCTTCAATCAAAAAATCTAGTTTATCATCGTTTCCAACGGTTACATTGTTATTTTTCAAATCACTCAAAACACTTAACGGCTTATCGTCATTTTTGTCTGCAATGAATATTCCTTTTAGAACGCTGTTGTTCTCTTTTTCATTGTTTGGGTTAGCAGGAATGACTATGACATCTTTATTTAGTTTCTGTTCGCCGCTCTGTAAATCCGCATCACTAACAGAAGGAAAAAATTGTGAAGCTATTGGCGCTTGCGGTGCCTTGTAGTAAGCTTCCGCTGCGGCTCTTTCATGGGAGTCATTCACATGTCTTGGTGGATAAAACAGATAACTTTCTCCAGTAGACGGTTGTAAAGCTGCCGTCAAGTTTCTGAGATTATTCCTTGATAACCTTAATTCCAAAGGATTGATATTGGTAGCTTTCGATATTTTTGTTTTCGAATACGTTGTCTTACCCTTGGATGTCTCCATAGATGACAATATTGTAGAGATTTTTGGGAATTGAATCTTGTGCATAAAAGTTTTGACTTGTGTATATCCAGATGGTAAATAAATTTCGTTTGTCTGTGATAATATCTTATTATTCCAAGACATATTTGCACGATCGCCGTTACTAACACTGAATGGTTGTTGTATCATTTTAGATTGATTCCTGACTATTTTCCGTAGAGCTGAAACGATGATAAAAGTAGAACGAAAAATCAAATGAATTGGATTTAAATAAGCTATACTGGTAACTGTAAAATTAAATTGATACTTTAGATAAAATCTTACTTTTTTCATAGCAACAACAAAATAATGGTAAAATAAATAGTAATGGTAGTATATACTGATATCGTTGACCACTCGCCATAGTTCGAAGGTAACTGGATCACCGACGGTCTATCTTTATTGGGGATGTTGAAAAAGAAAATATTCAACAACGATTGTTTTCCTGATGCGTGTTACGATGCACCATGCATAATGTTTGGTGCTTATGTCGTTTAAACTTGAATATTTACATCGAGAATTTCATCATTAAATTTATCCAATGCACTCGTATAAACAAAAAGAACTACCTGTTTTAATATTTCTTTACGTTTTAGGTATATACGTATACCTTTACTACAGAGTTTAAAATTAAATTGAAGTTAATGAAAATGGAAAGATTTTCTAACATTAGTTGAGGTCAGTAGACGAAGAAATTATTTCTGGTTTTAATATGATAACCATATTATATTAATCCATGTCATAATTTATACAATGCTTGCAATAGGTAACGACTTCTTTGTAAATATAAGTTATCTTGTTTGCAAGCAATCCAATAACAATACCTTAAAGTGCTTACAAATTCACCAATTCCATCCCGGAGTACTATTTAGGCATTTTTCAGTATCTAACTTGTTTAGTTTGTTTGTAGGGAAAAATCTTCAAGAATACTGATCCGATCATGGAAATTATTTCACCTACAGAAAAACAACTATAAAGGTATTTGACATAAATAAAATTTTAGAAGATAACTAAGCAACCCATCATCATCATCGTCAGCCCCTTTACATCCCCACAATTGGAAGGTATCAACGACTGCAAATGCAGCCGAAACCAACGGCTGAACGTGCTTTCCGAAACATGGAGTAGCTCGAAATAATAATTTTTTGGTCACCCATCCCGCGACCGACCCTTGCGAAAGTTGCTTAACGACAACGATCGTGTGCAGCGGCACTTATCCACTATGCAATCAAGATATAAGGCACCTATTTAATACTAAATCTAATAGGTACTTATTTCAATTATACGGACTATATTGTGATTAGTTAAAAAAGTAAAGCAAAATATATCCAAAAAAATACATAAAATATAGTCAAACAGTGCGCATGCGTGACAAATAAAATGTGAAGTTTGTCTAGTAAGCACCACCAACGGTACGGTGTAAATGAATCAATGGAATTTATTGATCTGTTTCACCCCCCAAACCGAACCCTTCCGAAATAAGTGTAAAGGGCATAGCTATGAGTGCCAAATGGTGGTAGTGTTTTGCAAATGAGTAAGAAATACAAGTCTACTGTTAATTTATGGATTTAATCACAAAATGGTTAGTGAAACAGTGATGACAAATGTTTGTAGTTACTTTTTATTTGAGTATTTGTTTTTTTTAAACCACTTGTTGTTATCATCAAGTTATGAATAGCAAGCTACTTCCCGCTACTTTGCTTGCGTAAATTATAGCCCATGTCGGCCACGTATGATGTTTAAAAAACTCTAAATCCCTATTTCACCGCCTCAGGGATTGACTTTACTCAAATATTGCACCTCTTCCTCTTCTCCCGTACGAAACATTTAATTTTTGTTTTTTTAATAATCAGGACGTCCCATCGAAATAAGGTAATTGGCTGACTGATCCTAAGCTTAGTAGTTCAAACATGTGAAAGTTTAAGCCAGTTTTTCTTTTTATATTATACGATGTAAGTAACTGACCTCCTCCTATTACGTTTAAGTAATAATTAATACTATTTACGTTAACAAGATAAAAAACCGATGTTTTATTCAAAACAATACAAAAATATTCAATAAAAATTATTTTCCTATTTTTGTGGTAAATAGAAATTACCATTTTCGGCGTAAAAGAGTTATTTGATTTTGCTTAAAAAAATCTTCGGTCATTGTAGCCTATGTCGCACGTATATTAGCTTTCATCTTTTAAAATAGGTCCAGTTTCGGAACATATTCTATTTTTGAAAAAAATTGTATAGATTTGGTTAATTTACTAACGTGGTTCAGCGATATTTTGAATTGTTCTTGTGCGTTGGGTAAAGCAGTGGTTACATATAATGAACGCTGAACGGGTTTCGATTTCATATATTAAAACAGTAAAACTATAGCGTTATTAGATTAGTTGTAAGCAAAAAATAGTCTAGGCACTATAAACGAATACGGTATATAACTTCATTGAAAATAAAACATCAATTTGAACACTAGTTTTAATTTTTGACAGTCAAAATAAATAAGACCGTGATCCTCGAAATTGGAGCTAAGCACTCAGAAATTCATAGAGTCAACTGCAAGGTGGTTTATATATTTTATTTTAACTCATAAAACCTTTACAGAAATTAATCATTTATAATGCTATATTTAAATAACTGTTGGTTCCTTACTGTAATAGGACACAAGTGCTATGTCAACTTCTGGTCTCTTGGAATGGGAATTTTCTTTGCCATCCGATCAAATCATATCCCATGGATGGTACCATGGTGCCCTTAGTCGCACAGCCGCCGAGAGTCTATTGCAACAAGACCGCGAATTCCTGGTGCGGGACTCGTCTTCTCAGCCAGATAACTACGTGCTTAGCTGTCGGTCTAATGGTCAACATCTACATTTCGTCATACAGAGGGTGATTAACATTATTTACATTCACCAATATTATCAGGTTATTTTGTAAAAAAAAACATTACTTACTTCGATGACATTTTATTGTATAGGCACATCATAATATTTTTTTTTTATTTAGTAAGTAGATTTCCTAGTTTAAGTATTATTAATAAAGTACCTTAGTAGTTATTTAGATTTTTGTTTATAGATTGTCGTTCATCCAGATACAGTCTACGAAAGATACCAATATCAATTTGAGGATGAGGCGTACGATACCGTGGCTGATTTAATAACTTCATACGTTGGTTCCGGAAAACCAATTTCGGCAGCTTCAGGCGCCAGAATCCAATACCCAGCCAACCGTCTTGTTCCGTTAACTAATTACATACCTAATGATGATGGTAATTCAGTCAATTCTGTCTTATCCCCTGTTGGCGATGCTGGTAATTATGGAAATCCTTACAGTTTATATAGCCACTTCACTGCTAAGCCTGGAATGCAGCTTCGAGTACCATTCAAAAAGCAACGATCGCATTCTTTAACGCCTATTGATATCGGGCAACATGCCAACCATGGGAAAAGTGCAAGTGCCGATGGAGTTATACAAAGCCAGACGAACAAACACAATAAAAACTTCTCCAGCGAATTTAGTTCGAGTTCTAATACTTGGGATTCTAATTTACCAACTAGTCCACCGGCCAAACCAGCTAGATACGATGGCCCTAAAGCTGATGACAGAAGACTTGAATTACAGAGACTTTATCACGTATCTGGTTCAGATTCTGGTAATGGATCAGGAGATTCGACTCAAAGTTCAGCTCATAGTGACCCTAACAAATTTAGAAACGATTCAGACTACAACCTTATTACACCGACGATAAAACAACAGTTTGATTATGAGCTCAGTGAAGCAAGGTTGCTACAAACAGAAAACTTGGACTACGTAGTCGAGTCACGTATAAATTTGGAATCTTTTCAGTCTCAAATCATTCCAATAGTACTCACGAAGCCCTTAGAATCAGAGACGCTTCACGCCATAAAATTACTTTTGCGAACATCAGGTCCAAGAATTTTGGCTAACCATATGACAAAAGTTGATTTGCATTTTCTATTAGATGACGCTATTCAGATCGAGGGGACAGAGAAAACAGCATCGGGGTTGGAGTTGTGCTTTTTGCCACAAGGACGGCCACTGCGTCTGGATGTGATTGAAAGGTAGATAGGTTACAAATGATCGATCGATCCATATGTAGTATGAATTTTTAAATGCATATTTGTATCCGTTTTTTTATCCACAGAATCGAAACATTCCGTCTTTTGATAGCTGTGACCATCTTGACTTGCCAGACAGATAGACAAAGAGCTGATACTATTAACGATTGGGTTCTGTTAGCAATCGAAACGAAAACGGCACTTGGTAATCTGTATGGATTTTCAGCTATAATGTTTGGATTATGTATGCCACAGGTGAGGAGTACAATATAAAACAGAGTGAGCAAATATATTTAGTAAACCGTGAAAGCATATTTAATATACTTTGAATAATTTACACAGGTGGAATGTTTGGAGAATGCTTGGAACATTTTGCGTCGCGTATATACTGATAACGCATTCATGTTTGAAGCAAAATTGCGGCCTTGTTTCAAAAGTATGAACGAAGGCACCAATCCTTTGCCACCAAATACTACCACTCCTTATATATTGCCACCAGTGTTATGTTTCCATTTATTTGGTAAGTAATATACCTTCGCAAGAAAAATAGTATTATAAAAGTATTGTTGAAATATATTTATGTCTTAAATTGGACATTCATTAACAGAGTACCTACAGATAATTTTATTTCTACCGATCATGCTCAAACAAATCCAATCCAAGTACACACGGCTGTTAGATTACCATAATATATCAAATTCTTCCTCAATTAATTTTAAACTTTACTAAAAGTCCAGTCTAGAAATTATACAGATTTGTATAACCTGACTGAATATCGATGAGATAATCAAATGCTCATTCATTCACAACATATGAACAAGTAGGTGGAGTTTTTCTCATTCATGATTTGTAATAACACCCGTGTTAGGGTTGATCCAAGTCTATTAGGTTATCGCCTTTTTCTGCCGTCCAATACTTTTTTGTCGCTTAGAACCGCCCTTTGGTAGAGAAGAAATATAGCGTGTTGTTTATCGCATCGACAAATATCTCATTCTACGTTATGGCAGTTCCGAGCAACAGAAACAAGTCATACCGTGTTGCCAGATGAATCCTTACATAAAACCTTAACGTGTATCCAACTAAATTACCACGAAATATACTTTTACACAGACGGCGAAGGTGGAGGTCTGATGCCTCCAGATGACACTTTCCCGAGCAGTTTGATGAACACTATGGAATTCGACTTCAACGCCACAGCGGCGCATCTGGAGGCAGCTCGTCATTTCCCTAACCAAGTAGATATGTTCAAACGGAACGCGAGAACAGTCATTCAGGAGATGTCTTCCCTCGGCCCCTCTTTAGATCCCACTTTACTAGAACTTTTTCGAACAGAATTTCACATAAATTTTCTTTGGGGAGAACGCGGGGCGTTGACTACTCCTTACCAAAGATTCGCAAGACTTACTGATATTCTCACCGCAATGGCAAACAAATTGGCTAGCCAGCCAATGGACAACGACGATGTATTGTAAATAAGATTTGTATGCACATTGCAACTTGCAATATCCAACCTTGCTAACCAACTTTTACACTGCCTAGTTAGGTAAATATAGTTATTAGTGTATTTACAGCTATTGCCTATTTATTGATCTAGATATTTGTATAGCATTTGATGTAGGGCATCATATCAACAATTTTTTTATATGCCATTTATTATACGGAAAACGAAATAACCTCTTGTTGTATATTCGTTATTAGATCATGATTGTATAAGTAAATAATATAAACAATAATAATTCATAACTATTAAGTATGTGGTGTAATTATTTCTGTATGTAGTATTATTAATTTTATATATACTTACGTAAAATTGTATTTTTACCATATCCAAACCATTTTCAGAAATAAATTCTTTGAATGTCTTATTCATATACTTAAAACATACTACGTATTTACTTTACTTTACCTAGTTTAGGTAAAGCTTCAATTAATAATTTTAGGGTCATAATTCTGCTAATGTTAACGTAGTTATAGCACTACAGTAACACGTTTTTTACAGTTTTTGTTTTTTGACGACAAAATAATAAACATATCTATCTGTCAGCATCGATTTGCGGAAAAGACATTGCACTAATTATTATATTGGACGTTATGTAGACAGTAAAAATTATATTCATTGAAACATTATTATTATATTACGTTAAAATTGGCAGGATTGACATATACGGACGCCGAACTACTACTTAACCAATTGAACTAAATCGCCACACACAAATTGGCACAAAAAAGGGGTTAACAAAGGAAGATAATAAGCTAGAAACTTGTATACAAGTTCATTTTACCATTCTGAATGTTGTCTCACGTATCGTCAAATATCAGTCTGCGTTCTAAGATAATAAAGATCTAAATTCAATTAGTTTTTCGCAATTATCTAGGCTTTTCACACTCCAATTTTAGAGAAATATTTAAGAATTAAATATGTGACGTTAAATGTGCTCGCAATCTAAGTTAACAGAGATGAAGTCACGTGATGGACCGCCTGATAGATTGAATGATAATTGATATGGTAAATGAGCAATATAGTCTTGGTTTTTATATCATATTACAAATGTAATGAAAAATATACACTAAGTAAATAAAACGTGTATACGTAAACCAAAATTGTGTATTGTTTTTATAAAAGAATAAATTCAAATAACAAAATATACCTATAGTTTCATTTTTTTTTTAAATAAAACATCCTGTCCGTTGAATCTTTATTTATTCTCAAAATTAAAAACATACAAAATATGTAACATAAAATCTTATTTTTATACACCAATTAATCTTATATGTAGATATAAATATACTATGAAAGTATAGCTAATCTAATAAATAAGCTGCAAATTTCATTAGATTTTTAAACAAATACATATTTTTATTTATGCAGATATCACTTTTTATTTTATTAGTTTTCGCTTTACATCAAACGATATTGCTTTATTACTTTCATATATTTGCTCTTAATTCCACTTACAGTACAAAATAATGGCATATAAGCGATTTTTCTAAATTTAGGTGAGTAAAGGGGGGCGTCCATAAATTACGTGAGATGTTTAAGGGGGGGAGGGGGTCGAGGCAAATCTCATCTAATCTTACGTTGGAGAGAGGGGGGGTCTCGGCAAATATCACGCAATTTTTTTTTCTGATTGAAACAAAAACAAAAAAATACTATTTTGGTCCATTTAATCCAGATTGTACATGCTTAAGATTTAATCTTAAGCGTAATCGTATACGATTAAGATCATTCACTAATTCGTTCAAAAGAAAATAATTTCATTCATACTTCGACGCTATACATCTACTGAATGTCAAACCACCATATTTGTAGGGTTCTAACGATACTTTCGATATCGAGTAGGTATCGATACTTTCAAAAGCTATACTCGATACTGAGTATTCGATACTACAACAAGGCAAATACTCGCAAGTACTCATCAAATTGCATTTTGAAAAATCTCACGTGAGATTGGGGAATGGGGGAGGCGGTTGAATAAAATCTCACGACATCTCACCAGTGGGGGAGGGAGGGTCAGAAAATTAAAAAAAACACCTCACGTAATTTATGGACGCCCCCAAGATAAAAATCGATAATTCCAAGTAAAAAAAAAAACAAAGTAGTCTGTGTACAATAACAATGATTTTATATTGAGATATCAAACATATTATATATACCTATTTATAATATATGATGAGCAGTTGTCGTCGGCGATCACAGGAAAAATAATTGCGACAAGTTTGGACTGAATAAAAAAATATATCAGGTGGTTTATTTTAATAAGTCTGGTGTTTCCTGATAAGTTTTTTAGTAAAACCTTATTGCTTCTATTCATATAAACATTTAAATGTCAATTATAATGACTCGAACTTATTTATTTATTCATAACATATTTAAATATGTTCCGCCCAGCAACTACTATTCAATAACAATAAGGCTCCTCCAACGTAAATATCAATCCGAAATCTAACCTTAACCATAATATTTACTTAATTCATCTATATTCAAATCGTTCGTGCAGTATTGCTTTCGGTCATTTGTTATAAACGATTATGAATGCGATAGAAAACGTCAGTGTGACACTGCTATATATAGTGTACAGCGCTATCCAGCTCAGTGTTTAGTGTAAGTTTTACGTTAAAGCGTTCACTAGTGAGCGCTATAGTTCTTGGTATTTACGCCAGGGGTGCTGTACCGGTATCCCTACTAAGACCTTAACGTAAATGTCAAAAAACACACTAAGCTCATTGCAATTGGATAGCTATTATATCCTAACAGTTCACACTTCGTGCCAGAATTTCTAAAAGTTTTGCTGATTTCGATAGGCACATTTGCATAACACAAAAAATATTTAAACATCATTCAGAACAGCAGTTGTACAGATTATATCACATTATAAGAATAAATACATATTTATTATTTGTATTTACATACTTGTATTAATGTGTACAGCACGTGACCTGGCTGGAGCTCAATTCATTAACAACATATGAATATAGAAAATCATTAATTAAACCTAAAAAGTTATTTAACTTTTTTTCATTATTTATTACGTTTTATTTCGTGAACTTGGAACTAAATCACACATACAAGTCACGAAGTATACTTATTTTTATCAAAATCAAACAGTTCGACAGTTTTAATATTACACAACGCGCTTAATTAGCTATCAATTAAATCCAGCAATAATGTTACTGTTAGAAATGTATATTAATGCCAGATAGAGAGATATGTAATATATTTCGTAACTGCCGTTAACGAATAAAATATTTATGAAATAGAATATTTACGTTGCCATAACATTTAAAAGTTTAATATTTGAAATACTCGGCGTTTAGTTAGAAAAAAACATTACCTGCGTTCTACATCACTGCGTTATATTTCTAAACAAATAGTTTTACTAATGTCAGTGCTTGTGAATCGTCATCAGAATTTGAGTGACTTCGCAAATAATGCGACTGTAGCTTGAGTTTTGTCACCATTAAATCTCCTCAGTTCGACGATAGCCTGAAAATATTGATATCTCTATTGGCAAATAATAACTATAAAAGTAAAACCTGTTGATATATATTTATTTAACTGGACAAGGCAAAGGCACCACTGGAGCAAGATAATTTTTTTTACAAGAATAGATACTTTAACAGCCGGTTTCTGAATTGACCACTAAATAAACCACTATTAAGCCTAGTAATAGGTGTTATCACTTCTTAACAAACACCTTTTTAATGTAGGTACTACTGACAGCCCCCTGTGTAGAAGATAAATGGTAGCAAAAGGAACAGCTGGTCATGTCTTGCAGGCATATACCGGAGTGGCCAGTGGGCAACTACTGGGCAAAATACCTCGGCTCTCCATGTTACCTCCAGAAGGCCATCACAGATGTGAGGGCGCTGAGAGCTTTCTGGTACAGAATAACCTCCGGATACACACCCTCCACAAACAAAATATGCACACTTTTGATTTCAATTTCCGGAGATGCCCGTAAAAATAAGAGAAGTTCTTCATACTGTGCCTCTCCCACCAGCGCGAACGGTGCAAGGCACCTCTGGTCTCTTCCCAATAGGGGTGGTTGACCGAACGACTACGTTCGGGTAACCGGGTACTTTTCCCACATAAAGGCATGCATGGGAGTAACTACACATACTGTTGTCACACTTGCAGTCCTTCTGACCTGCCTAGTGGACTATTGGTTAGGTCCAATAGCAGGGAAGAGTCCTACACACAATTATAACTAAAACTGTGTATTATCGGAACAGAATTCAACTTTACGATGACAAATATCTTTGATAAAATTACAATGATTATTTACCTGTTCCCTAGTGAAACCGAGATTAACAATTTCTTCAACTTCAGATTCGCCAAATGTGTCAGTTGGTAGTATAGTCTGGCTGGGATCACCTAGGCCTGAAAAATTAAATTAAATTATTCCAAGAAAATACAATATGCACTTCCGAAACTCTTTAAACTCATAAACAACTCAACTAATCATATTATAGTCTGTTCCTAAAGCAGAAGAATAAATGGACAATGAGTGTATATAACAAATGGTATGTATCGCTAACCATAGAACTCTGTAATGTGTCAACGGACTACTAACCTATTGCCATATAGCGTCCCGTACAAAACTCAGTACAATAAAACAATACATGTCTATAAGTAGCCATACGAATCGTAGCGATATTTAATCTATGTCATTGTTGGATTTTTTTGCATTCTCTAGAAATATACTTTATTTTATTACAACCAAGATACATATGTTATATATTTTACCCTTAATATCTCATGGAATCAGTCAAATTATCTTCTAAGTTTTGTACTTTATAATTTCACTTGAACATGAAGAATAACTAATATTTACCAATTCTCTGATTACTTTGGCCAGCAGTGGAACCGCTTTGCCCCAGTTGTTGAGATGGTCGAATACCTTGGACTGTGGCAGGCTCTGTACCTATGATAAATAATATTAATAAATTAACTATCCGGATGATACTTAATATATAAGTGTCATAACCAAAGCGAAATAAATTTACGCATATTTTATGTTACAAAGATAATAATAATAATAATATACTTTATTGGACTCAATATGATACAATGTTTACAGGAGCTTATTATTGAAAAACATTGGGTAAACAAATGGCGGCCTTATTGCTTAACAGCAATTTCTTCCAGGCAGCCTATGGTGAAACTGGATAACGAATAAAGATACTGTGGGGAGTGGGTGCAATATTGAGAAGGATAAATATATTAATAGCGTTAATATATTATAACAAATAAAAAATATATAAAAAGATACTATCATTATACAAAAAAATATATTAATTTCACTATATCCACACTGGAAAGCAAACACGTAGTAACCTGCAAAACCAAAACGGATATTCAGAGTAGAAAATCTTTATATCATTTTCCAAAACAAAATATTCCATCCATTGAAATAAAATAAGATTTCCATGGACGTTTATAGGAATTATTTATCGAAAAAAAATTAAGTTTTTCTGCTTTAAAGAACAATTTTGGTTTTTTCGGGTTACTACTAATCTCACTTCATACGCTACATTCTACTGTCAATCCATGTCATTAACAGTAGAATGTAGCGTGTGAAGTGAGATTACTGCGGGTTCATTTCATTAGTTGGTAAAATGATGAATTTCTATCTCTATAAAATCAATATAATTTAAATCTAGGCTGTTGCACGCGCGAAAGTCGAAACTATGCCATCGATTCATAAATCTAACGCGGGAGAACTTGACATACATCTTCATACCAATAAACTTGAGACATAGAAACCACCCTCACTTCCAATGTGAGCCCAATCGACTAATGTAAATGAGCCAGTACTGCATCTTCCATATGCTTACACTTATCGGATGTTGTATGTTATTATGATATAAAAAGATGTTATCATTTGATTTAAAAACTATTAGTTTTGCTAATCGAAATAAGGAACGATGAAAATGGGTGACGACAGTCGCTTACAATCCACTGCATACCGATCCTTTTGCCCAGTGTAAAAGAGCCTACAGTTTATAAAGCTTTAATTTTTTAACTTGTTTTTGATAGATAGTTTTATTATATTACTCAAGCAATTCGGTGACTTCACTTCTTTTAATGGTTATACTTTGCTAATAGAAAATTTAATATGCAATGTATAACGACATTTTTTAGAGTATCCACAGTTAGTAGATAAAATTGATGGGGCCAAGACCTTTTTGTTTCTTTGACAGAAAAGTAATAAATTTAAACCCTTATCTAAGTTGAAAACTTTAAGAATAACTGCACAATTAGTATTGTCCTCACACTGCTATATAATCTCATGCATCATCTGTAAATTTCTAATCAACTACTTTGACTATACAATGTCCAATACATCAAATATCTACACAGAAACAAGTATCAGATTTTTCGATTTTTATTATTTTCAATACATTACGATTTTTAGTTCATTTAAATATCACTAGAAACGAAAACGGTGCATTTAAGTATATAAAAATCTGGCAACTGTTATTCATTTCTTTTTCCCTCTCCCACCTTGTTTTGACTTCTCCAATGCTTCTTTCACCTGACGCTCTTCATGATCTCTAATAGATTGATTGACAATTTCATCCTCAGAGTATCCAGACAGGCGAGCACATTCAGGTAGTTCTGATTCAGGTAAGAATGGTGTCTCAGTGCCAGTGGTGCCGATTCTTAGTACATTCCTCTTTAAATCGATGTTACACTAAACAAAAATAATTGCATCACCACTACTAACTAAACAAGGAATTAAGTTACGTTCATGTAAACAATGATCTTGGATGACTGGATAATAATGAAAGCAACAGAATCATGTATATTCCAAGTAAGTCAACAGATAATTATTAAAAGAAATGAAAATAGAACTATTTGCTAATTGTTTACTTTAACTGATTAATTAGACAGTTAACAAGGAGTTATATACCAATTACTTATAAGAGTATAGATGTATAATGTTTACACAATTATACCTGATGTCTTTTTAACATGTCTAGTCCCAGTAGCATGTCCATAGGCTGTTCCTCCAATACTGAGAAAGAGGTGGTCAAAAAATCTTTCTCAATTCTCATTTGGACCATGTGAATGCGGCCTATGATTCTTTGGACTCCAACACCTTTTGCTATACCAGCCCATCTACATAGCATTTAAAATATCATAAATACTTATTCAATGAAAACTCTTCTATATTGATATAGTTGAAGGTTAATAAATCATACAATTTACCTAGTATCCACAAGACGCATGATGTTACACCTCTCAGCACATGCAGCAGACATAATAGTAGTTTGAGCACCAGAGTCAATGAATGCTTTCACAGGAAATCTAAAATTGGAAAAAGTAATGAAATTGTCAATTGAAACATAAACAATTAATATAAGACTAATAATGGGGTTGTAGACTTTTTTTAATATTTTCATTCTATAGATTTAATTTTCAAAATTTCCCATGAAAACATTACTCTGTCATGGACTCGATAAGACATCATGGCCCTCTGAAATCTTTCTATGTATGCATAAGGTTAAATTGTCTAAGTACTGATATACTCGTAAGTTAGACGAGTGTGTGTCAAGAGCTGTTTGTGGTCATGTAATAATGAGTATAAAATATTTGTTTTTTCATAATAATTTCAACTATATTATAAATACAAGAAGCATAATAGTGTGATTATTGGTAATAGTATATTAAACACTACCAGAAAAAAAATGCATTAATTTTGTTTACTGTCTACACACTTATCAATTGTAATTAATTCCAAAAATTATGTCTGTAAGATTCATTCATACCCATTAACATGGCAATTAATATAAAGCATAACAACTGTTCCAAATGTTTCAGGGTTATACTCCATTGCTGCTTCCATGTTTGCTTCAATATTCTTTTGTCTAATTTCCTCAGCTATCATTCTTTGAGCTTCAGTGTCAAAAGGGTCTGAATTCATCATCCTAGAAATAATCAATGATTATTTATTACACTATCAAAGTTGACATAATATACTCAAATAAAGTGAATATCATGGATAAGTCATAAAAAATAATATCATTAAGTATAGGCTGCTAACCTTATTCTTTGTTGTTGACGCTCTGTCCTAGCAGAAATTTGTTCACGAAGTACTGAAGCAAATGTGTCTATAAAAAACACACATTAATTAATTATCACAGGGTTTAATTAATTTAAAATAGTAATTATTTTATTTAAAAAATAGTAGAGGTAAGTACATACCAAGGTTGCCACTTAAAAGTGCATCAGCTAATCTTGGGTTGTTCTGCTTCAGCAATGCTAGTTGATCAGGGTTAGCAAGAAACATCTCCCTGATGATGCGAGGATCTTCCTCTACTGGTGGACTACGAGTAGCCATGGAAGTACTTGCACCTGGAGGGACTCTGATGTTGCTGAAATCTAAACTAGCTAAGCCTGTGGGCAAAGCTACAAGGCGTATGTTTGACTTCTTTTGATGAATTATATTAAATTTGTTTCTAAAAAACCTTATTATAGCAAATTTTGTTTGACAGACTTTAATAAATATTAACACATGTCATTTTTTTTATTTTAATCATAGATTTAACTTATTTTAAAACATACCAGTTCGAATTTTGACAACAGTGATACAATGTCAAAACAATAAAAATAGGATAGCATGACAATGCGATTTCTAATGAGTACAAGAAAGGGACAAGTAAGAGATTGTGGTAAACAAAGTACAATACCTTGATTGGCGTCATTCGCATTGAGATTTGTAGCTGAATGAATCATGTGGAGAAGTACAATAACATCGCCGTCATGAACTCCGTGTTCTTTTAGTGACTTTTTGTCGTCCAACAGAGGCTTGCCATTAAAATTCAATGTTATATCTTTGGCAGGAAACCCAGATTCTATCTCACAGAATGCTTTGAAATTTTCTAATTCCAAGTCTTCAGATACATCCAATACGAATAATTCGTCGTTCAGTGTAGTTACTGTAACTTTCATGTTGATATCTTGATGAGCCGACAAAAAAGGAAGCTTTGCACCGTAAACAGGTTTGTGTTCAACGAATTAAATTTCAGGAATGACTGTCCAAAACATTGTAATTTAGGCACACAATAAATGTACTTAAATACACGCGTTCTCAAATGACTACGACACAAATAAACTTTTGGAAGAAAGAAACAAATCAGTTTGCTGCTAAGGTGGAAGTTGCAGTTTGTTAGTGTTGTTCTATATAGGGTCAATCGATGCCACTGAGTACTGACATGGTATCGATGCTTTTCATTCATTATAAAATTTTGATTGCTCCATCATTTGATACCTTTGTAACTATGATGAGCCACCCCGCACTTTTATTGCGCCATTATGGAAGTACCTAGTTCAATGATGTATGCAATAAATACAATAAATTATAACTATACGTTGTCCGCTATATTATACTTTGTACGGAGGGCATGAAACAATTTACTATAGATAGATTAAAGAAAAAATATAATAGATCTTTGTGCTCGATGACATAGGCTACAAAATACCCGCAAATTAGACCATTTACTAAAATGGAAAATTAGGTTTTTTAGAGTTATTTAACCGTTTATTTAAATTCTTTTCGAGTTACTGTATGTAGGTAAGGATTCAATAAAGCTAATACTGAAACTAAATATTTATTATAGTAGTATCCAGTAGTTTAACGTCTTAACTCTATAGGTACATTGTCCAGTCGTAGCTATAAAATGTTTTGTAAATATGCTAACAATGGTTTGGTTTGGTTTTTGTAGTTTTTTAAATTATGTGGCATGGACTTAGTAGATCGAGTAGATCGAGCGAGATAACAAGTACAGTGGCTATTTATCCCTTTCTAATAGAGCGACAATAACATTTCATTTAAGTAAAACTTTTAATATTATGGTTCAATCTTTTAACTACTGCGGCTATTATCATACACAATAATCTTATTATAGGCTATTCGTGCAATTCAATATTGATGAGCGATATTCACAATGGAGGCCGTGTATTTCGTTCTTGTTGTTATAAAAAATAAAATTGATTCAAAATTTAAACTAAAATAACCTTCGTGGAAGTCTTTCCACTTATTTTAAAATTTTAGGACATTATATATAATCACATTAATTTCGTTTAATATTACAAAAAAATAGAATTAATTATTATCAGTGCTATTTATTTATTCATTTTCTACTGCTGTCCTTTTTAAGTGTCATTGTGGTGAAATATTGTCTTATATATTTAAGCAGTTATTATTCTGAAAAATTGCGTTTATATTTGTCTAGGTGAATCATGACGTGCAATACGTTTTTTCACGATTAAGATATAATTAACAACATTGTAAATCTAGCAACTATGTTTACCATGAAGTCTTGAAATATGTGGACGATGTGTATGTGGTCATAGCAAAGTAATGTGGGCAGATACCTGAAGCAGAAATAATAGTTGTATGCAGTCGTCACTCTGAAAAGGCTTAAAAATATATCAATAAAAGAAATTTATATTTAATTTGTTACGAAACTTCGAAAGCGAAATTGGATCAAGAAAAATCATAAACCAATATTGTAGTTTTTTTTAGAATTTCAAAGGTAATGTTCATTAAAATATTTATATTGCATTGGCTTGTTATACAACGTAATAAATATATATCAGAAATAAATAATCATTTATTTAAATCACAACTAGGAATTTACTAAAATATGTATACAATATTTTCTCTTATGGTTCTTTTAAGATTTTGCATATTATTTTTAAGGTATGACAACTCCTCATCTTAAGGCTTTTTACTAATGGCTCAAAACAGAATCGATTGTCAATTTAGATTGCATCGTACCAATGGATTCCGATGCAATTCCATCAACTTCGTGGAGATCCGTAATATAAAACAACTTTTTCTTAGTTTAAATATATTTTTATTTATGAAGTATGTGTGTGTTAACGGTCTCGCGTGCAGGTGTACAATTTAGCGCGTTTGATCTGCCCTTGAATATGCGAGTTTCGCAAAGGCTAGGAATGGGATGAGTGTTTTTTTTAAATTGGCTTAGCCAGGTGTGGCATGATTTTGTTTTCTTCCCTTCTCCTATGAGTATCATCGGTCAGTGAATTCGAATTAGATTAGACGACTTTCGTAAAGACCAGTAAAAGGACGGGTGATCATTTTTTTGTAATTGGTTAAGCGTAATTGTAATTGGTTGTGAGATGTAGCGGGGTGATGAGGAGCAGAGCGGGTCAGATATTCTTAATAGATGAAATCAATCTACCTAGTTATTCGTTCTGAAATAATGTGGTCGTCCTTAATAATTCCGATAAAATATTTGATCACATTATAAGGGTGGGCGAGTCGTGCGATATCACTCATCGATATCGAATTGCACGAAAAGTCTATAAGCATATAAAATAAATAATAAAAATAAAAATAAATTTTTGTAAGAAAGTTTAACAACATTATTGTTTATTATAATAGCTGTAGTAGGTAAAAACTGAACCATATGAAAAAAGCCTCTGTATTTGATATTTTATACAATCTTCTCTATGCTCGCTCGTCTCACTTTTCAGCTGGGAGTACTTCTGTCCTGTTATAAAGTACTCAGTCCATGCGTCAGCCGGAGCCCTCCACGGATTACAGGTAATATAATAGTTATTACTCGTTATTTTTGTATCGTTACGTTATTCGTTACCTCTGATACCTCAGAATATAGAATGTTAGAGCAACGAATCGAATCGTATCGTGCATAATCGTATTGCGTGCGCGTCAATGACGTTAAGTTTTTATATACATCATTGGTACGCGTACCGTAATATATTGCGACATTCCCAATTTGTAGAAAGTTAGTTCTAAGTACCTACTGAAAAAATATTATTTGCAATAAAATTATACAACATTTTAAGGAAATCAATCTAAAAAATATTGTTGTTCTGAGAATGAACATATGAAATAAAACATCTGTATATTTTGTTCTTATAATGAAATTAATCATAATAATAAAATAAAAACACATTTGAACAAATTAAAATAACAACGACAATTTTTTTAAAGAATTAAATTGAACACGCATCAACACTTGTATGTAAAACTGTAACAGTGTAGATGGTGTACAAAACATACGAATAACGAAATACATTCGTAAGTAACGTTTCGTTACTCGACATCGTTACTCAGTACCAGTACCGAATACATACGATTTGCTACAGCTCTACCACAGACCAATAGAAGAATTGAGAATAAAAAGTAATAATAGTACGGGAAAAGAAAAAAATGTATTGTGTGTGAGATGAGAAGCCTTTGTCATAATTTTCTGTTGTAGATATGAAAAGTTGTTGTTCTCTTTGTTGTTTTCAGAAACAGTTTTTGCGTAAATTTAATAAAAGGCAGTTTGCAATTTTGGCATAACATTATTTGTAAGTGGTTGATGTTGGTGCGCTTATTAAAAATGAATGATGTGAAATCGACTTTTTGACCTAGAATGGTAAGTGTTTTCTTTGTATGGTTAATGGTTTTTGATTGATAATTAAATAATTCATTCCACACCTGAGGGCTAGTGTCATGTAAATATTTTATACTTACGAATTGACGGTAATCTTTATCTATTTGCTGGTGAAAGTGGTTGGCAATACTTTATTCTTCGCGTGAAAATAACTTGTTTTTGGAGTTCCTTGGGTATTAAATCTTTAAATTTTTTATAAAATACTATGTTCAATAATCATACTAACTAATGTTTAATGTGATAAGATTGTATTTTTAGACATAAACTTAGTGACCAAAATAATTATGGTTGATCAACATACATACTAATACTTAATCTATGTATCAATTTTAACATAGATTTTTATTAGATTATAAATTTTGTTACTTTTGGCATTCAGTATATCATCTTTATTTTTTCATAGTGTATTAATATTATTTTACCTGTCAATTAATGTATTGTTATTTCATAGGTATTCTACCTATTTAGTTTCTCATGTTTGTTTTAGATCAGGAATCTAATAGGAGCATTTACAAAATTTCAACATAAATTTGATTTCTGTTTTCCCAACCTCTTTATCTCTAAAGTTCTTATACATACTACACATAAAACACTTGTAGTTACTTTTTTTAATGTAGGTACTATTAAAAAATATTTCTATTGTTTCATGGATTGCCTGAACATTGATGTAAATTCACTCATTTATAGCAAAAGTAGTAAGTGCTTGAGAAATTTGTCAGCCCTGTTTGGTGTATGGTCAGAGTAGTCACCCAGATTGTAAAAGGTTGTGGGTTTCATGATGGTGAATTTTTTAAAGCATTTACCATAGAGATAAATACATAGGCATACTTTTTTCTTTAAGACAGTCATAAGATGTAAGCTTAAATATTTCTTATAGGTTAATTGAGGAATAGAAGAGTTGAATTCTACTCTCAAGAAAACCATGTCATCAGTGGGACAATTAGTCCCACAGGTGACTCGAGCCCCTCCCAACATGACAATCAAATTCAATGGACCCCACATTGAGGGGTCTTTTTGCACATCAATTGATTATAATTACGATCCTATCATCAGTGTCATCTGTGCAATGTACATTATTTTTGGCATTGTGTATACATTGTTTGGTAAGTACTCCATGGATAAGTATATTTAAAATTTTTTAAATATAGGTCAAGAGAAGATATAATAATATAAAAATGTTTTTTTAAATGTGCTTTTATATACACCAATTATATTACTCTTTCATTTTAAACAATTTTTATTAGTGTAGTTACAGCAGAATCTATAAAGTATTCATAATAGCTAAAACTATAAACAAATTTTTAACAAAACTTGCGCTTTAGTTGGTTTATTAAACGCATTACACACTATGTAAATAGATTTAATATACTTAGTTGTTTGATATATACTACGTAATTATTAAGATAAATTAACCATAACATATCTTATTTTCAGGATACAGATGCTTTAAAGCCAGCATGTTCTTGACTGGTTTCACTTTTGGTTCTGCTATTGTTTATTTAATATGTCTCCAAGAATATTTAATGCCTCCATATGGCAATGTTGGTAGGTATAAGGAATGTTTAGTTATATCTGTAAATTCATATCTACATTTAATTTACCATTAACATTACTTGTTTTAGGTGTTGCTCTTTGTGCTGGCTTACTTTTTGGTCTTATCACTATGCTGATACAATATGTTGGACTTTTTATGACTGGTTTCCACACAGGCTTGTTACTTGCTGTTGCCGGTCTGGCAATCTATGATCATTTCCTAGACAGCAGACCAACTACAGTAAGTATATGTTATTAAATCTTTTTTCGTTGGTGATAGAATTTTCTAGGAGGCATTAGTTAAATTTTACCTGGAAATAAAAAATTTATTAAAGATATTTACATATGCCAAGCCTTTAAAATAATACTTGGAATAGGTATTGGAAACTTTATATATGTAATTGGTGTTGTATATTAAATTTAACAACTCTTGTCGTGTCTGTTAACTAATAAATCAATACCTACGTCAATTCCTTGAATTGGTTCCAAAAAATCTTATATGAATCATGGTTTCATTGACTCATCATGAAGTAGAAACTAAGTAGCTATTGATAAGTTAAGTTTCAGTTGGTATATATAATCTGGAGTAGTCTTTAACAAGCACAAATCATAAAGTTATAGAGCATATATTGTAGTTATTTATTGAATCTATTTATACTGGTGTGATGTATATCAACTAACAATATAATGATGGCCCCTTTGCACGCTTCAATGTGTGCCGGTTGTCGGCCGCGTAATGCACTATACGCTTTCCTTAATTTATATTGCCGATGTACTCTCTATAAGAGAACACTTCTCAGACTGCAAAGAATATTTCTAGAGGTTTGCATACAGTAGGTAAAAAATTAGCAATTCAATTATTTATATGCTTAGATGGATGAATTGGTCGCAAGGAACTAAATTTATGCATATTAAATGGTTATCTCACAAATACATCTATAAATTGGAATGACCTTCTCAGTCCACCTTGACGAGTAAGAAGATAATTAAAATTACATTACGGCGTATGTACGACCTCAGAATACAAATAATCAGAAAAGTAACTTCATTATGAACTAATTAAAATTTTATATAATACTTGTTGAGCTGAATAGAAAGACGATTATTATAAATGTTATTTTAGTCAAATTAGTGCCATTAACATAAAAACGTGTTTTAAAAGGGAATATTACCAAACAGCACTGACACTGATTGTGCAACTTTAAGATAGTTTTTAACAACAAATTGGGGCTTTGACAAGATTTAGTTCTATATGTTAGCAAATATGCCGATTACGTTTATTTGAAGAATATTTTTTATCAAATGTTATCTCAAATAGTGTTTTGGTATTTTTCTTAAATTTCGGCCAATATTTCGCATTGAAATTTATGTACCTACATTAATTGCGCATAAGAATAGCTCTTATTATCTGTGATACCTATATTAGAGAATATATGTTACAGTTTCATTGTATGTGTTTGAAACTTTAAAGAGCGTAGCTCAATTACTTATATAAAAGGGATTGCAATGCGAATGTACTCACAATATTAATTTAACACTAGCAAATTTTTATGGACTTACGAGCGGTGTTCCGGTATTTCGTCCGTCATTGCTTGGTCCTAGGGTGTCCTGAAATCTTTATATTTCGAGTCCTATTAATAAATTCTAAGACGAAATCTATGGTTCTATTAGTTGAGACAACATCTTATACATTGCCTAGGCTCCAAAGGAAAAATCTTTTAGCAATTGTTATGGGAAATCTGATACAATAAAGGTGTGGTACATCTAGACACAAGAAAATACAGAAAATGAACTTTTCTGCAGTATTTCGAACGGAAATCGAACCCGACGAAGGCGAAAGCTTGAAATCATTGTGCTCTCAACGAAGTAATGGAGGTCTCTTAAAACTAACCATTGTTAACAAGCGAGCCGCAATAAATATAATCTAACATATAAATTATGTTTTGAGAACAGTTTATTTATCTCGTTTATTTATCTGAGAAAATCATGATAAGAGCAACTGAGTATCGCTATAACAACGATTACATCTGCCATTTTTATTATTCGAGACGAAAAACAGAAGCCAGTTTACGAACTGTGCATTGCTTACTCAATCAAAGTTTCTATGATAGTATTAACTTTTTTTTTCTGATAAAAGCGCGTTTAACCCATTAACGCCCGCCGTACTATAAGAAGTACAGTAATTTAAGTTGAGATTAAAGTTATTAAATTACTTTTTTTCATTTTGCTAACCCCTTCAACCTTTCAATCGAAAGTCTCGCAGTAAGTATAAAGCAAAATCATGATTCAATCACTAAATAATCTGACAGTAGTGAGCATTTTGTGCCAGTGATTTTTTGATATATGTCGGTGAGTATTTATTTCTCATTTTGTAAAAAAATGACCATTGAAATTTATTAAAAAGATTAAGTTTTAACTCAATAATATACTATTTGTTTGTAAAGCACGTAGAAAAACAAAATTTTTAAAAAGTGTGACAAGCTATAACATGTTAAGTGCTGCTGTACTAAGTTTAGTACAATGGGCACTTGACATGTAACGTGAGACAGTACAGTGCAACAGTTTATAATTGTTTTCAAGTTTTTTTGTCGTTATATTACTCATAATATCTCAATAACGAACCTTTAAGTGGCATCGTTATCAGACGATAAGAGGAAACTAGGTATCTAGAAATTATAAAATGGCTATTATACGTCCTTTTACGAAAAAAAAAGTAGTTTTACTATGAATAACACCATCAGTTGAGATAGTAATGATAATGATAGTAATGATTATGCTCCTACCCAATCCAGATATTGTTACAGATGAAAAATGTGACTGGTCATATGCATAGGTGTTGTAATTCACAGTACATCTACTTTTCAGAATGTAATGGTGTGAGTGGTCATCATAATCAGTTTTCCAGTTTTCTTATTTACAGCATTCTGAGATGTAGATGTAATCTTACAATGTCCAAAACAAGACGAAGTGGAACTAAAGCTGAGGAGGATTTTTGCCAAAATGTATGACTATTTACTAAGTTTCTTGGTTAACGCAGATCTAATATCTGTTACAGAAACATAAGTCTCAGATATAATAAAACGTTTGTCACTTGCAAAGTTTTTGAACTTTTCGATGATGTAGTGCTAGAACTTATTGCGTCCAAAAAAATACTGTATACGATGTACAAAACTGCTGTCATGATAAGGTTTATACAAAAATAATATTTGAAAATTCCAAGTCCATCGTATATTACCGGATATCATAAATTATTATCTAGATAAAGGTCATATTGAAATTTCGATAATAATATTGGTGTGCCACTGGTTTCAGAATGCATGACCAGAAACAGAAATTTGAAAACAAAAAGTAGTCTGCGTTTTACATTTAACACATTGACTAGTTCCCCTACGGATAAGACATACACAAGAAGTGTTCCACTTTATCGAGATCTTACAAAAAGTTGTGTCGAATTGTTATATGATATGAAAATTTCTAGTTCATGGGATATTACATAGTAATATCAAACCTGAATATTATACAGATCAGCTGGTATTACGAGACATAAAACACGCACATATTTGAGTAACATAAGGCAATACAACCATCCATCATTCAAAAACAAGTTAGGAAAAACAATGTTCATTATTCTTAAAAAATACTAATATACCAATGACTGTGTCCTATGTGCCAACAGAATCAAAAGAGCGTTGGAAAAGTGACAAATAATATCGTGTTTCGATAGGATATACTTTTTTCGGTATCCCCATATGCGCCCATTGTACTAAACTTAGTACACCTCTAAAAGTACATCTTATAATATTTTTTTTATTATTTTTTCTTTGTAATATCAAATAATAGATGATTTGAAAACAATATTAAGAACTGGTTCACTAAAATTTTTGTAGGATTTTATTTGGGCGTTAATGGGTTAATTAGTATCGTGGATGTAAGCTAAGAATTGTATTTATTTTTATGTTAACAACTGCTCCTGATGATTGAATAATTTAATTAAATTTGTATGTCTTTGGCGAATTATTTTACTAGGTAATGAGTGTAACAGCAGCTGAACGTATTTATGGTCGGATGCATCCGCCAGTTAACCGCTTTGCCCTCGAGTGTGCGAGAGTGGCTTACGCACACGCGCTGTTGCGTGCGAACTCATGATCCGTATACATTAATAGCAATTTTTAGTTATATAGATTATAGATCGTGTATGCTCTTACTAATAGTTAACGTCCTATGCTCATAATTTATGTCTAGTTCTATAATATTTCGATATACCATTCCTACAGTATTATAAATAAACCATATTATAAAGAGGTAAAATTTCTAACTTTGGTTTAAAATTCTATAACATCAAGAAAATTCTTTCAGTTATAGTTAGCTAGATCATAAGCGGGTGACAAAGACTAATTAACGCGGATGAAGTCGCGGGAAATCAGTTAGTGTTTTATAAAACCAAATAGAATTTTCATCTGCATTTGGATATCATCGGTACTATTTTTTCCAGTACTATCTTATCCCACTAGAACTTTTTCTTGGGAAAATAGTACTTCCCCAGAAAAAGTTCTAGTGGGATAAGAACTATCTAATCTATGTATCTTATATTAGGCTGTAGGTATTATCTGTGTTCAAGTACAAGTGATAATTAAATTATGTATATAAACATCTAGACAAAAGCCTTCAGTTTATCTATTACTTAACTCTTATTCAATAAACTATACCTACTTAAGGTATAGTATAGTGACTAAGATGGCATTTCTGCAATGCATCAAATTAAATTTTTTTCCAAATATCAACTTTAGCTTATACTATAGTGGAACTTCAGATTTATTTGTTTTACCTCTCAAATGAAATTTTCGTTTATGTTTTTGTGGTCTACTTATAGGTATTCAGAAAGTTAAAATGGGTCTTAAATTGTAGATGAATATATTATATTCATATGTTTTAAGCGACAAACGTTTATCCATTAATGAATCTGGATATTACATTTGTAAAAAAAATTAAATAACTATAATATACTAACTTTTAGCGGGCAACTTGAATTCAAACTTTTTCATCCCCTATTTCAACCTCTTGCGCTATAATACGTAAAAGTATCCTTTCCCAAGGTCACCTCATCAGTATCTTTCATAAAAACTTCAGTGATTTTGGCGTGAAAGCGAAGCTAAAAGACAGTTACTTCCGTATTTTTAATATTAGTTCTTATATCTATTAGAGCATTAGCGCCAAATATTGGTATGATTAAAATTGATTAAGAATAGAACTGTTCGTACGCATTGCATGTCTTATCAAAGATGCTTGACACTAAAAAAACTTTAAAAATCACAAATAAATACAACAATATTGTTTTTATGCATTTATGAATAATTCATTGCCTTAAAACTGTTAATTATGCTATCCAATATTAAAGGAAATGTATGCGAATGTTATTGTAAATAAGGTGCTATTTGCGACTTGTATCATTATTACTTATTTCCACGTTATTAATATGAATTTTGATTTGGAAAAGAAAAGAAAGTGAATGATATTTTATGTATTGTATTCGTCCCATATTGTAATAAATTAAAAATAATGGAAGTGATTTTTAATATGATTATATAACAGTAGTGTTATTTCCAATCTATATATCTCTACACCAAGAGCATGGCGAATGTATTATTTATTATAAACCTTATGCTTCATAAATAAAGGTCGTTTTATTTGTAAGGCTGACATAAGACTATCATATAAATTTAATTATAGATATACGGATCATATTAATAAGAAGAACTTATGATGGTGTAAAAACAATATATGATACATATTGTCTCCGACCATAGTTATGGGAATCTGCATGCATGCGAAACAATTATGTTCATATTTTTAAATGGCGACTTCAAAATCTAATTATTGCGATTGAAATATCACTACCAAGTGCTATTTTCGAGGAAAATCTTAAATGGGAAAGCAAAAATCGGGTTATAATCTTAGAGGTCGTGACAAAAACGTGCAAGAGTTTTTTAAAGCTTGATTTTTGCGTAAGTTGAAGATTTAAGGTATCATCCCTCTGTATCCAAAGCAGAGATCAGATGCAGGAACACTTGAAAGCTCTAGCACATTTTTGTTACGAGCCAGGGGAGTAGCTACCTTCATATCTGCCGTATTAATTATACGAGGCCCTGTCACAATATGTAGTTGTACAGCTACATTCATTCGGAGATACATATTGTTTGACTTTAAATCTGTTTGTTTTGGATCTAACCCAAATACGTTTTTGTGTTTGTTTCTTACCATTTTTTTCGTTTTTAAAGCAATTAATTTAAATGGATTTATAGGACCGGAAAACATTTACTTAGAAACTTTAAATTTGATAATTATATGAGCCTAAGAGTTCAATGATCATTAATTATTTTGTGACCTTTTATTAATTATTATTTGATTTTTCAGTACTGGATGTGTGTAGTGGTGTTATTGACTTCTGGGATCTTCTTCGCCGTAATCAATTTATATTGGAAGAAAGGTGAGATAATTCTTGTTTAAATTTACATTACGCTGACAGCCAGTGCACAAATGTCCATTAAAATTTTCATTAGTATAAAGCGACATTACCCATACAAATTTGACATTCATTACAGCTTGAAGGCGTCCTTAAACCTTAATGGACGTTTGTGCAACTGACCATGAGCAAAAATCAACTCTTCATCTATGTTATTAAAACTGTAGATAGTTGGAACTACACACGGAATCAAAAAATAGCACTGAATCTCTTTTAAACCACTATTTAAAATTTCCCTGATATATCTTTCTTGTCTATTCTTGTTTAATTGGTATTCTATTAGATAAAACCATATAAAATCGGATAATATTATAAACAGGTAATAACTGCAAAATTTTCTGTAAAATAATATCTTTAAAATCATAAATTTTAATGAAGAAGAACACAAATAAAATATGTTTTCACAAACAATTATTGATGTTTTATAAAATTAACCGCAATCGTAAATATTTATAACATAAAACATAATCAACAATAATAAATCATGCATTACCATTACTTACTTACTACTTGCAAACAACACATGTTTGGTCAAAAACATATAGGTAACATGGGTTAGAAAATTATGTCTTTATTGAGGTATTTGAAATGTGAAAAATAAAATTTTTCATTGCTTTTATTTATTTAGGTTAATAATTATTAGAAATAATATTAAAGAAAAAATATTAGAGGTTTCTCATAATTTTTGTTGTTCCGTTCAAAAACCTAAAAACGATCATCTCCAAGAAACCAAGTAATTTCAGGGTTAATCATAGTATACATATTTTATTTAGATTTATTTAACTAATCCTGGCATGTCTTGTATTATATACCTATATAGGGTGTAGCCGTAAAATGACGTCAATCTATTTCTGAAAAGAAAAAATCGACAAATGCCCAACTAGATGCTTGTTTAATTCAGTTATGGGACACAATTTCGATTCTAATGTTCAGTATATTGTTATGTGTATTTTTGTTGTTTTATTTTTATTGATGTCATTAATTAATATAGTTAAGTGTATTGTTTACATACCCTGAATAAATTTGATTCAATCTCATCGAGTCTCGTGTATATTTCCCTGAATATTACTCATATTATTTTGACTAAAACGACTCCATCTCGAAATAATAAATATGACCAATTTACACCACTGAGCTTATTTTTTCAAGACTTGTGAATGTGGAAGAGAGAACAAAATACTCGCTGAATCGCTGTCTCGTTTTATGTCTATTTGTTACATGCTCAATTTTCCCTATAATATTAAAATATAAATCCAGGTTATGGCTCCCTATTCTACTTGATCTATTGAGAAGATCTGTGCCCCCAGTAAGGTTCTGAAACCACTGGATCGATTCTAAAAACTCTTTCACCTACGGAAAGTTACATCATTTGCGGTGCACATAGAATATATTTATCTTGTAAAACACAGTTTCCTAGGGACAACGAGGGCCATAAAACATGTAGTAGTAACAATACTTATTAAAAAAAAGAAACTTGTATATTTAGATTAGAATTTCTATTGTCTAACGTTATTATTCTATTGATACTTCTTTAGTGATATTTGCTTCATAATGAGTAAGGAATACGCTTAGGTTTAATTGAGAAAAATATTTATAGGTTGAGTTAGGAAAGTAAAGAAATGGGATGAGATGAGACGTCATAGGATAAATACGGAACAACCTTTTCTTGTCTCTTCACTATTCTATGCACTCTTTTGAACTTATCACAGAAAAGAAACACCCTTTTCTCCTCTGAAAAGAGATTTCCATTTTTAAGGTTTAGGTGTTAGCAAGCAAACTGAAAACAAATGTGTCGATCTCTGTACTGTAGTTTAAAACCTATAATAGCTTCACCAGCCGCTATCTTCTGTCTGATTTTAGTCAAAGTGTAGAGACGTTCACGATTATTCTGCGAGATATCAGAAGACGCTTTTGTAACTCGACATCATTAAACAACTATGTTTTATCTTTAAGTTTATTTACTGTATACTTTCAAATGACATCATATTGGTGAGAGTACATCAAGGATTAAGGGTTTTGAAGCTTGAAATAGAGGTACGATTTTTGATGGAGTGCATACATAAGAAAGCTATGAATGTGTAGGTAACCGTATTGTTTTAAGTTTTTCATTCGATACTTTATCTTTATTACAGTTCTGACTATATTCGGAACCAGCGTGTATGGAGGCGTTGTTATTGCCACTTCGCTGGATTACTTTTTTGAGAGGTTGATGATGCTCAAATGGGTTAGTAAATATTCATCCAGTATTATATATTATAAATTGTATCTGCACCGTATGATACAAACGCGATTGTACATAGTTTATATTTATTAAATAACCAGACATTTGAATTATAGTTTGCCTCGGCAAACATTGTCGAAGACAACTAAAACAAATTTAAAGATAATTATTTTGATAAATGTAAATCTATACATAGTATAAAATAGTTTCTTTATCGTTTCCAGCTGTTTCTACGCTGAGATCTTTTACACTACACAACAACAAGACAACACGTCTTACGACGTTTTATCTTGAAATATAATTAAACGGTGTCATTAAGTTTAACGGTTATTGTTAGTGAACATCAAAAAAAATATCGTAATGGTAAACATCGTAACTCTAGCAGTCTTTATAGTGGTCAAATCACGTATCCATTATATTGTAGTTGTGGGACCGTGCCAAGCTAGAGCCTGCGGTGGCGCCTCCGTGCCGCCTCTCATGGCTGACGCTCGCAGCGTGGCCAGCCGCCGCCATAGTTGGTCTCACCGCTCAATGCGCGCTCACAGCTACCGGCATCTATCACGAGCAAAGTGAGCATTACATTTTTTACCAGGAAAATATATTTTTTGTCGCTTCCATATAAATGTAGACACACATAACGAGTCATAAAAATCATGTGTGGGTGCATTCCCGCAAATTTTGTGGTGGATAGATAATAGCCATTATAAAAAATATCCTATCCTAATAAGGCATAGCTTAACTAGGAAACGCCTCACATTAAGGATCGCACAAGTAGATTAGTTTAATTGTAAATAAATATTTTTCCTTTTATACCTTGACATATTTATGACCAGTCATGTACATGACTTTGCGTATCTAAATGCCTAGCGCAAGGCGCCGCATAACTAATATACAATCTTTAGATATTGCTTAATTTTGTTCCTAGTTAATGGTGAAATGCATTTTTACCATAAGCGCTTCCTAAATATTTAAGCGACAGATTTGGGCGACCCTTAAGTTTAGTAAAAACAGGCATTTGTATTTTTCCAACCGTAACGAGTGATTATGTAACTTCTAGAATAATAATTATGTTTGTCTTTTTCTTTTAAATGTACAACTATTTCTTTACTAAAACATTATAATTCACCCAGAAACATGATAAGAACATACTTATACTGTCGAAAGATAGCAGTTAGTATTCAACTCTATCATTTGACATTACCCAATAGCTTTCAAAGGTGTTTGTAGCTATCGATTGGCTTAGACAATTCCGATTAACGTCAAATGTATGTTATCGTTCATTCGATGTCTTTCAAAAAAAGGTCTCGATCGCAATTACTGTCACATGTCAAATAGTTGCAAGTGTGAAGTTCGCGAATGTCTTTTATTCAAAGTCAAATTCAAAATTATGGTGAAAGATTTTTTTAGACAATTAGGCAACAGTTGTTCTTCTGTGGGTGTCATCCGCTAGTGCAGTATCCACCTTTGATACAAACGCCCTAAATATCGATCTAGTGCTTCATCCATACCATTGGCGTAAATTCTTAAGCCATGACACTCAATCTTCTGCCCTCACTTCTCTTATCCTGGATCTTTCCTTTGATAATCAATTATAACAACACACACTTTTAGCTTGCCATGATATTCTGGTTTATGCCTTTTTATTGCTGTCAGTACTTGCAACGATTAACCCATTCGACGCGGTACTTCCTCATTTCGCACTTTAGTTGTCCACGAAATCTTAAGCGATAAACCTATTACTTGTATCATAAGTGGTTTACTTAGCTGTAGGAGGGCCTTGGAAAAGCGAGGTAGTGCAAGTTTAGCTTGAAACAGGCTACTGCTTTCAGGGAGGCAGTATTGTAATGTAATTTGATGATAATTATTTAATTGTTCAGGTATAAGTGCTCAAAAGCGGCGGCTGAAAGCTCAACAGACAAGGCCGGTGACGCGTGAACAACGCGCTGAGATGAAACAACGCAAATATCGGTATCTGTATCAGGTCCGCACCGCACACGGAGATGTCATATCGCAGGTACTATTCAATGTGTACTTCAAACTGTTAATGTTTGTTTAATATCTGGAATATGGATGACTACTGGGTTAAAAGAAAAAGAAATTCGATTTAGTTCGTCAGTCAGATAATAGAGAAATATTAGATGCGTATTTTTTTTTGGTTTCCATTTTGTTTAGATAACAGGAATTAAGGTTAAGGAGACGCTACGTCATTGTTTTGTATTGAAGTGTGACGTCATGCCAAATTTCAATGTATCGTCGTAATTTATTGATTATGTAAAAATCAATAAATCTACCTGACAAACAAACAAAAATTAGATATCGTCCTTATTCTTTGCTTAGTAGACAGAGAGGACCAAGCGCCAGAAATCACGGTGCTTGCACACGTCTTTCAGCTGAATGTATATAGTAACTCATGTATGAAATGAGTTATTTTACGACTATTAAAAGCCTTATTTTATGACTTCTGATATGATCCTCCAATAATATGTGACTTGAGTGTGAATGTGGAATGTGGAAGGTGAGTCTTGGGACGCCCTCGGCTGGGCATCTTTCTACGTATCTCTTCCTTATATTATTTCTTAAACACCTACGTAATTTGCTAATGTTACTCATCAAATTCTACGTTACTCTCGCATTTCGATTGTTTTTCGTTTGTTTTATTTATGTGATCTTTCTCTTGATCCGGTAATAACATGCTTTTTGTGAATGTCGCTACTTCCATTAGTGCTGGTGAGCTTTGTGCTCGTTTTACTTATCAGCCAAAACATGTTCGGAGCGGAGGGAAAACGGGAAAAAAAGTTGGACGATTCAAAAGTGCTTGATACAAATTTATTTTAACAAACATATTTTGACTTTAGCTGCCTGTTATATACCCAGCTTCTATACATTAAAATTGGGATGACTACTGTGTTGTGTACAGAAAGTTTCGTCTTCTGCCATGGCTTTTTCCTAATGCTTCTTTGTATTCTATTTGCGGCACTTACCCTTCGCTCTAAATCATTTTAGTCAAGTAAACAAATAATCATATTCATTAGCCCTTTTACGTCCTCAATACATAGGCTCAGATCTTCCTTATGGATAATATTTATTTTTTGGTCACCCATCTCATAGACCGACCTTCACGAAATTTGCTTAACAACAACGATCAAAGTTCGGGGCGTTATTTACTACGCCACCAAGCTACACAGCGAATACGTAATAGTAGTGTAGTGTAAGCCAAGTCAAATTTATTATCACCACCAGTTTATTAAATCCCTCTGCTGGGGCTCAAGCCTTCCCTACGGATGGCATCGAATCGAATATGGAGAATGGGCCATGACCCACCACGTGGGCCTAGTCCGAATTTGTGGGTATTAACGACTGCAGATTTAAGACCAACGCTTTAAGTGCCTTCCAAAGCGCGGAGGACTTTGAGATAATAAATTTTTGATCACCCACCCTATGACCGGTCGTTGCGAAAGTTACTTAACGGTTGTTAAGTATCGCAGACCGAGCGCGCTAGCCATTGCGCCATCGAGCTCCTCAAGCGCCAAGTCAAATTATCTGCTACGTATTTCTAGTCGTACGTGCAAGCCCTTCAGAAGAAGGCGCAGTGCGGCAACTGGAGTGGTAGCGGCAGCGGTGGTGGCGGCGAGTGTAGTACCCTACAGTCTGACTCCACCCACCTGACTGTACTGGCGGGCTCCGAACACGCACCGCCCACCGACTCCGACGACGATCTGCATCAGATACGTGCCGCCCACTAGCTCCAGGTAATGCATCCACCCACATGATATGACTGACACATATAATCCACGCAAATTGCTAATGCGCCAGGCCGCCATTTTGGTGACGTAATTGCGTTCTACAATTTGTACCGGTAACAAATAAATACTGGTTGACGAATACACTTATTGAGTTGCGTTGTGTTGAGAACACACACACTTTTGTTATATTTTTGTTGTTTTCAATTGCTATTGTTAAGTTTTGTTGTTATTTGATAATTTGACTAAAATAGTTATGCCTATTATGATTTTCACAATAAGTAAACTGAATATCACAAAAAATATAACTAATGTTTCTCGTTTCATTATTAGTTTTGGCTATATTAAAAAAAAATCCTTTCCATTTGTTTTCGTTATTACAAAATAAATATTACTTATTACTTTTATCATATTTTTTTATTTTCCATACACCTCAATATTAACATATATATTGACCTGTAAACCCTAGAGAACGTGCGAGGAGCACCATGGTACCTTACTGACCGCGAACAAAGACACAACTCAGGTGGTGAGAATATTACTCGCATTTAATCAACTAGAGGTTTCAAAGGGAGGCATTCTAAATATGCCACGGGTAGCAGGTCTTATCTTGTGAATAGCCCCAGAAGAAGTATCCACAGCTATAAAAGCAATGGCCAACAATAAAGCGACTCACCCTGATGAAATCCCAGCTGAGCTATGGAAAAGGCTTTACGTGGAGGAGTTATCTTCTTTACAAACCTCTTAAACCGAATTCTCATGCAGGACTTGCCGAATGACTGGAGAAAGAGCTACCTAGTAGTTTTTTATAAAAATTAAGTACATCTAAGACTGCGAAAATTACAGAGCTATTAAATTGATCTCACTCCCTACCCCTTGATTCCTCTTTACTGTGAGAATTCTAATGGAAAAATATAAAAACAACAAAGCTGATCTTCACATGGCATTCATCGACCTGGCAAAAGCATTCGACCGTGTACCACTAGATGTCATATGATAGGCGTTGCGAGCAAAGGGTGTTCCAGAGAATTATGTGCAGATAATATCTGACTACGATGTCACAACTAAAGTCCGAAGCCCAGCGAGTTCTCATGATGAGTTTAACGTCTGAGTCGGAGTTCACCAAGGATGCTGATCCTTGGTGGACAGGACATGACCACGCCTTTTTAACCTCGCCATTGACCATCTAAAAGCGAATGTACAGCGGTCTTCTCCGTGGTATCTACTATACGCGGATGACATTATCCAATCAATTAAAGTAATGACCTGGAAGATCTACAAAACATGCTCGAATCATGGAAAGTGGCACTCGAAAAAAGCAGTTTGCCTATCAATTTTGTCAGAATTATTGTAAGTGATTCGTGAAAAATGTCTCGAGCCCTTCAAAATGAAGAAATCCTTTCAATATTGCAAAATATTTGTGAAGATGAATCGGATTGTGGGTCTGAGAGTGAAGAACGGGGTAGTGAGGATGATAATGTACCATTTATCAGTTCAAGTTCCTCTACGGATGAAAGTGACCTGGAAGATCAGATACCTCTAGCAACTTTACGAACCGTTGACAGGTTGAGTTCTCGTGGCCGCGGTCGCAGCCGTGCTCGTGGTCGAGGTCGTGGTAGGAGTCATAATTTGGAAGATTCTGAGCTTCAAGGTCTTATCACTTCTATCGACGGTACCTCATCTCAAATGGAATCTACTCAAAGTGGTCGCCGGGCACGCCACAATATTATAACTGAGCAAGCAGGGCCTACCTCATATGCAAAAAGAAATTTCAAGGGACATTTGTCAGACTCGTGGAGGCTTTTGATTGATGAATCTATATTGAGACATATTCAGAAGTGTACAATAGAAGAAGCTAATAGACAACTAGGACACAAAAACTGGATACTAACTTTGGAACAACTGGAAAGTTTGATCGCTATATGTTATGCTCGAGGTGCATACGGTGCAAAAAATATTCAAGTAAATGAGTTGTGGAGTAAAACTTGGGGAATAAATTTTTTTGCAAAAGTTATGTCACGTGACAGATTCAAAGAAATAATGAAGTATTTGCGACTTGATCACAGATCTGAGAGAAGTTCACGACTTCAACAAGACAAAGTCGCACTAATATCAGACGTTTGGAAGAAATTCATTGAGAACTGTTTATCGTGCTACAAGCCGGGAGAAAACGTTACAGTAGACGAACAACTGTTTTCTACTAAGGTTAGATGCAGGTTTCTTCAATACATTGCTAACAAGCCTGATAAGTTTGGAATTAAATTTTGGCTTTGTGTTGATGTAGATTCAAAATTTGTACTCAACGGCTTTCCATACTTAGGAAAAGATGAAAGCAGGCCACCAAATCAAAGCCTCAGTGAATCCGTTGTAATGCGTCTCATGGAACCTTTTGCAAATACTGGTCGGAATGTAACCACTGACAACTTCTTTACATCGTTGAGCTTGGCAAATAACTTGCTCGCAAAACGCACTACAATTGTAGGAACTTTGAACAGGGCACGACGAGAGGTTCCACCTTACGTCAAATCACTTCATATGACTTTGTTTGAAACAAAAATTCTGAAATCTGATAGATGTACTCTTACGATTTATCAAGGAAAACGAAACAAGAACGTTTTATTGCTCAGCACGTTACATGACAATGTTGAAATAGATTCAAATCATCCTAAGAAAAAGCCAGAAACTATGACTTTTTACAATGCTACCAAGTACGGCGTAGATGTGGCTGACCAGATGGCAAAAAAATATAGTGTAAATATAGTGTAACCCTCTGAAACCGAACTATCGCCCAAAGAACCAAAACCTTCTACTTCTCGATCTACACTTCAAAATCCGGAAAGTCGAAAAAGGCGAGAATGCTATATGCAAAAGTGCAAAATTAAAACAAATAAATTATGCGACTCTTGCAAAAAGCCACTTTGCGGCCCTTGTAACGTAAATGAAATCTTAAAATGTAAAAATTGTATGTGAATTAAATAAATAATTATATATTATACTCTGTTTCATTACTATAGTTACTAATTTTAGCAAATAAATAATAAAAAAAATTAAATAAATTGGGGCAGTCATTTGACCGGTCGCCGTCTTTGTAGGTAGATGAATTTTCCCGTCTTTCTAGTGTTAAATGCAAGGTATATAGAGCGGCAGTGTGTCCTGCATTGACATACGGTTTAGAATGCTGGCCACTCAAAAACAACAAGTGGATAAACTTTTCTCACTGAGATGAGAATGCTCAGGTAGGCTGGCGGTGTAACTCTACTGGACCGAATCCAAAATAAATACATCTGTGGTATTTTAAAATGAGGCCGTTACCAGAAAAGCTTGAAGATGGTACGGTCACGCGGCGACCAATTGACTACACGACGAGAAAAGTGCTGGATATTAATGACCAGTAACCAGAGGACGCGGAAGATCCCAATTGACATGGATGGCGCTAGTCAATAAAATTTTTAAAGAAACCCAAATACTAGCCGAGACGACCCAGAATAGGACATCCTGGTGACGCCGTATTAGATGAGCCGACTCTAAGTAAATAGGATAAGGCTAGGCGAAAGAGAATGTTTTAAATTATTATTCATTAATGTGCCAATAATTAATAATTGATTTATCTCTTGAATTTCTGCTAACTATATTTTTTTTTAAATGACATCCTGGTGACGCCGTATTAGATGAGCCGACCCTAAGTAAAAAGGATAAGGCTAGGCGAAAGAAAGAATGTTTTAAATTATTATTCATTAATGTGCCAATAATTAATAAATGATTTATCTCTTGAATTTCTGCTAACTATACTTTTGTTTTTCAAATGACGTCTCGTGGGTATTATTTACACAAGTTTCCAGCGCATTAGCAATTTACGAGACTTATACTACTTTCACGAATTAACACGACACCTGAAGGCTTATTTCGTTTATTTTAGAAATGCTAATACGACGCGCGATATAATGATGTTTTTTAATAATTTATATTGAAGGTAAGACGAACTCGAGAAACGCTTTATATACACCCAAATGTCACTTTTTCGGGTTGAGAATGGAATGTTGTATGAGCGCACACGAGAAAAATGACATGCTACGCCTGCTGACAGTGCTTCTGATGTACAGATGATTTTCAAGGATATGATTTTAACAAAATTATAAGAACGATACGATTTTTTTTCCTATTTCGTTCGACTACAAATAGAAAAGGCCCCTCAGGTGTCATTTTAATTCGTACGAATGAACCTATGTTTACCACATACAAACATAATACTCATAAGCCTTAATAGAGTTTAGCATTTACTTGTAACTACTGATTTGGCAAAAAACGAGAGAAGAGTGTATTCAATGTTTAAAAATAGTAATAAAAATAAATTATACTCATTTGTCTCTTTTCAGGTCAATCGCGGAATATATTTTATTAAATAAAAGGAGTTTAAACCAAGGAGTTAACTAATTAAATTTGAGTCAATGTATCAAGTATAATATCGTAAGTCCAATTAGGGTTGCTTACTTTTGGGGATAATAAAAATGTTATAGCGACTCCTATTTATCCCTTGAAAACTTCGCATATTGATATTTTTTCATGAAAGTAACTTTCTTGGGCCTGTTGAATTAAAAACACGAAACGATAGCAATTCTAGGGTGAAGTGTTGCATACAGGTAAGTCTAACTTATAACTTATGTATGGTTAGTAACATCTCGATTAGTTATATTAACTGTTATATAAATTAGTTTATTTTAAAACAAATTACCGACAAAGACAAACTGTTTTTTATATTAAAAAAATCAAGTAAAACTGTCCTGACTAAAGATTGTCCTTTGGAAAAGTTTGTTTATATTACTGTATATTTATATTTTATTGTGTGCGATATTAATCGCTAAACTCAGTATATAAGAGCTCGTAATATCTTAAAGGCTACACATTATTATGCCTCTCGATTATATACTGAATTGCAATAATTATTAAGTGCTAATTATTACTACATATTATTACTTGTAATTATTACTAATTCATAATTGGAATTT